TTATGTTTGTTTTTGCGCCATTAGCTCCAATTGTAGATCGTTGCTATTCAATTTATCTGCAGCTCACTCGGCTATGTTTGAATAGCACCATTAGTTCCAGTTTTATTATGTTAGATTTGTTCGCTCTAGGGTGTTATTAATCTGGATTCTGGAATGCTTTCTTGGAATGAAGATTGTTTCTATTCTGAATGTTGTTTCCTGCTAATTGGTGTTTATTGATTAATTGATCTATTAGTGTTGATGTACCTGCCTTCTGTAGTTGATGCTTTAGTTTTCTATTTTGAATGGTGTTTATTCATTAACTGATCTGTTAGTGTCGAGTACCTTTTTTGTTGCTGACATACAATGGATATTGGAATTGATGCAGATGAACTGATCAAGAATGCTGCATACATAGCTACCCCTGGTAAGGGTATCCTTGCTGCTGACGAGTCTACTGGCACAATTGGCAAGCGTCTATCTAGCATTAATGTTGAGAATGTCGAGTCAAACAGGAGGGCTCTCCGAGAGCTGCTCTTCTGCGCACCTGGTGCTCTTCAGTACCTTAGTGGAATTATCTTGTTTGAGGAAACCCTTTATCAGAAGACTGCAGCTGGTATGTTAATATGATTGTAATGTGTATATTTCGTGTGTGGAAATTGGATTAATGATCTTCGGCTTATCTGGTAATTGCACTTGAGTATTTTACATCATGATATTCTGACAGTTTTTACTTGCATCTGCAGGCAAGCCTTTTGTTGATGTTATGAAGGAGGGTGGAGTCCTCCCTGGAATTAAAGTCGACAAGGGTACCGTAGAGCTTCCCGGAACCAATGGTGAGACAACTACCCAGGGTCTTGATGGCCTTGCGGAGCGCTGCCAAAAGTACTATGCGGCTGGTGCTAGGTTTGCCAAATGGCGTGCAGTGCTCAAGATTGGTGCCAACGAGCCATCTCAGCTCGCTATCAATGACAATGCTAATGGCCTTGCCAGATATGCCATCATCTGCCAGCAGAACGGTCTTGTCCCCATTGTTGAGCCTGAGATCCTTGTTGATGGATCCCATGACATTAAAAAGTGTGCTGATGTCACAGAGCGTGTTCTTGCTGCTTGCTACAAGGCTCTCAATGACCACCATGTCCTCCTCGAGGGTACATTGTTGAAGCCCAACATGGTCACTCCCGGATCTGATGCCCCTAAAGTTGCACCAGAGGTGATTGCAGAGTACACTGTACGTGCCTTGCAGCGAACAATGCCAGCTGCTGTTCCTGCTGTGGTTTTCTTGTCTGGTGGTCAGAGTGAGGAAGAGGCCACCCGCAACCTCAACGCCATGAACAAACTTCAAACCAAGAAGCCCTGGACCCTCTCCTTCTCCTTCGGACGTGCTCTCCAGCAGAGCACCCTCAAGGCCTGGTCAGGAAAGGAGGAGAATATTGGGAAGGCCCAAGCTGCACTCCTCACAAGGTGCAAGGCCAACTCTGAGGCTACCCTCGGAAAGTATGCCGGTAGTTCCAACTTGGGCGACGGTGCTTCCGAGAGCCTTCACGTCAAGGACTACAAGTATTAGGACATTATTCTGTTTGGTTTCTGTTTTGATGATGAGGTTTTGCAGGATGGTTTACTAGAAGTGTCTTTTACTGGTCATAGTGTGCTAGTCTTTTCTTTTTGTCACAATATTTGTTCAATAAAAGCTTGAGAAACGTCGGCTTTGTGACATTGTTAGGAGTCTTTAATCTTTATTAGTGTGGTAATCTAGATTATGTTATCGAATTTATGCCCTGTTGATGGGGTTTTACATATTAAACTTTGGTTTTGCATGTCATTATCTTTATGTTACTTCATTTTCAAATAATTCTAGTGTGAGATCATAGATCTACAATGAACATGCCCTGTATCTCAAGTCTCTTCTCATAAGGCCAATCCTACAGACGATCAGGCAAACTCAAGCTCACTTCAAGTGCATAATGGACTTGTTGTATTTGAAATGGAATTGGTTATCCATCGAAAGAAATAACTCCAGGCTAGTATGGCTTTGAGGTTCACTCAAGATTCGGATTCCCTCTGCGATTATTAGTTACGTATACATAAGGAATATTTGTGAGTCATGTATCGGATACAGTGTATATCGAAGAAAATTAAGACATAGTAATTTGTAATTAAACAAACTATCGCCCCCCTTGAGTAATTGAACTCTATAATAAAGTTTTCCAGAAATTTCCTCAATAAAGTTTCGACAAAAAATA